AGTCTCTGTCCATCTGGTATATTTGAGGTCATCTGGTTCACTACAGTTATATCCAATAAAAGTATTAAAATGTAAAAGTATGTAAAACTAAAACTATGTGTGCAGTCTGAGAACCAAAGCGCTGGATGATCTTGATAAAAGTTAAAATCCTGAGACACTAAAATATATATATTTTTTAAATGTGGAAATTGTTTTGGCTCCAGGCTGGCCTTCAAACTTTATCTTACAAACCATTTGAAAGCGACTGAACGTCTGTGCAGGTCTCATAGTGAAGGGTTTACTCTGCTTCACATAATGTTACCGCTTGATGATATATGTTGCCTGTCTGAATAATCTGCTAAGGAATTACCAGTCCATGAACTTTTTATTATCATGCATCATATATGAAGGTCTAAAAGGTAAAAACATGCACATATGCTAAATGAAAACAATATTTTCTGAGGAACTGCTCCACAATTATTATTATTAATATTAATTAAATTACTTTATGTTGTTCTTGGTCAAGTCTGGGATTACATTTACAGAAAGAACAAACAGTCCACTTAGTTGAAGAAAAAGCAGACAATGTCTGCCGTAAAAGAGAGTGTTAAGAGTTAAATGATCCATGACTGAAAGAAATGTACCTGTAGACATGAATTATTGATGAAAACAGAAAGGTTTTATTGACTGACAGATCCTATTAGTTGAGTTCAGCCATAATGGACTCACAGTTCTCTCTGGACATGCATGCAGTACTTGGGGTGGAGTGTAATGCTAGATCAAATAATTTACCCATTAAAATAAAAAGAATCAAACAGGTATGCACAAAATGACTAATGTCTGTTGTTTAGTTGTTTAAACTAGAAGCTGTGTATACATACATGTACATTTTGCAGCTGATTCATTGTGTTCTCTTTAAGAACTGCACAGCAAAAGTAGAGCTGCACCCAGATATGCCAGCAGTGTTTGATGAATGATGCATCTTTGTGCATCCCGTGGGCAGGATGAAGACAACACACAATTGCAGACTGTTTCAGAGGATTTTATTCACAATTTTCTGTCTACAGATCTGTCAACATCCTTACACACTTAACTAACTGGAAAAAAAAAATACCTAAAGACAGTACGATAAAAGGTCAAATATTAAATATTGGTGTTAATGTAGTTTCAAATCCCATGTGGTGTAATACATTCAAGAATCACTTAAAATAATCCAAAGCATTGCATGGTTGTAATTTGAAGTGTTACTCTGACTGAACTGGAACGCAATTAAACATTTGTACAGCTTGAACAGAGGTGCAGTAATGTTTATTATTGTATTTTATTGTTATTATTAAGGTTGCATGTAGTTTTTTTGAACTACTGTTGCAATATTTTAAAAGATTTTACTGTCTGAAATGGCTGCTGTCGAGCTGTTAACTGGACAAAGAGTTACGGTTGAAATAATGAAACTAAGTCATCAGGTAAAATATTGGTAGAAGGATGTTAGAAATGCAGAAAGACAGAGGAGCTGTATGGATGCAGTTAGAGAGGACATAGAGGTACAGTAGATGGAGTGAGGACAGAGGATGCAGACAGAGTGAGATGGAGGAGGATGACTAGAATTGGTGACCCTGAAAATGGCACAGGTAAAAGAAAGAGGATAAGAAGTAATTATTAAAGAATAAAAATGAAGACATAACATTTATATATAACTTTTTAAAGATGCAACTACTTGTTAACAGTCTATCAATGATCTAAAAAAGCATTACCTTTCAGTTCATCGTTCTTGTTAAATATTTTTTAAATTTCTGAGGTCATTTGTAAGACTAAATAACAATATTTAATGTATTAGGATTCAAGCTAACCGCTCTGAGACATAATTAACCAGGGATGAAGTCTATGAAACAGTAAACTTTTATTAAAAATGTCCAACAGTGCAATATAAAAACCTACCTGCAGTTACAACGGCTGTCGCTTGGGGGCGACAGAGCGCATCAACTTCCGGTTTGAGCTGACGAGGAAGAAAACCGGCGCTGATTTTGAACTGAAGGAATTTGCAAACAAGCAGGTGTGGCTCGGTGGATGCTGCAAATAAAATTCTTATCTCTGCTCATTAGATCGGACGCTCTTATATTACATGTCCAGCTGTAAACTGCATCGCACAGGTAACTTGTTTTAAACTTTATGAATTTGAGTTTTGGCAGACTTAGCGACTGACCAGCTGTGTTCAGCACGAAGTTGTTAGCACGTCGCTAACTTAGCGTAACGTTTTTACCTGGTTTGCCTTATTTTTTATTGCCATATAGCTTTTATTTTAATAGTAGTATACAGTGCAAGCAACATGATTTAATTTGCTGCATCTTTGTACTGTAGCTAATAATTCGTGTTTATTCAAGAAAGCATGGAATGCAGTACAGAGCGTCTTTTAATTCAGGGCCCTTCATCTCCAGCAACGACTCCGGATGTCGAATAAAGGTTAAACTACGAGCACATTTCTCTACTAATCTAAGCGTATGTCTTGGTATAACAGAGCTGCAGTGAAGCATAATGGAGAAGATGTCTGTGATGAACCTGTACAACCAGTTTCAGAGTCTCAGAGCTCAGGTGGACGGTGTGAACGAGAGCATTGAGCCACGTAAGTTCTAGTATCTGCCACATCTTCAAGTTTTCCACTGACACGAGGTAGAGCTTTCTTTGTTGGGTTAGGATTGTTTGCAGTGGCAGAAAACTCCAGTTAGTTTAGTGGGAAGGTTAATATTTGCTGTAGTGTGTATCTTTTAATCATGCAAGTTTAGCAAGCATAGATGAGTGCAAATATGAAGCCATTATGATTTGTTTTAATAGTGAGTAAAGAACCTCTTGTTTACTAAATAAAGAGTGATATTTCCTAGACTACACACACGTTATAGATGATGTAGTCAGCACAATAGAAGTTGCAGTTGACTTCACATGTTGGGACTTTCACTCATTTGCCACCTAATTTATTTTTGAAAAGATTAACTTTGCTGTGCTTCTGTTACTGAATTATACATGTTGTGTGTTCTGATAGACCCAGTCCTCATTTATGTCAACAGCAATTTATTTAACATCCTCCTTGTGTTGTCTTATGTAGAGTTCCTCCAGATGGCAGTGAACTTTGAGGAATGTCGTAAGAAGTGGCTGATGTCAGGTGACGAACTGGTTTCCTGTAAAGAAATGCTTACCAAAGCAGAAACAGAAAAGGGAGCCCTGGAGGTTAAGCTAAAACACGCTCGAAATCAGGTGGATGTAGAGATCCGGCGGCGGCAGAAAGCTGAGGCGGTTTATGAGAAGCTGGTTGGTGCCACGCAAATTTGCTGACAAACAAATGACTGTTTTTGAGTAAAAAAAAAAAAAAAAGTCTTGATTTTCTTTAATTGTTTAAACATTTTTCATCAGCAGGCAATTAATGTACATTTTTCTGTGTGGATCTGTTTCTGTCACCGTGCTGCCTTTTGCGTATAAAGGAGCGGCAGCTACAGCTGATCCGGGAGCTGCTGATTTCAGAGAATAATGGAAGCAGTGTCCACTTAAGTGAGGAGCAGCGGTCGGCCCTGGCCTTTCTCAGCGCCCACTCCCAGGCAGCACAAGCTGCCAAAACCAACCGCAGGTCCAGCCGAAGGTCAGCCTCACCTAACCTAGTTCTGAAATGTGTCTTTAACTACACTGTAATATTTAATAATAATACTTATTATTATATATATGTTTAATTATTATTATGTTAACTCATTTATATTCTATATATATGTTATACGTCTTCTATTTACAGTACTTATTTTTATTATTCGATACATTATTATTATCTATTTGTTTTAATTATTAACAACTAATTCATAACGCTTAAGCACTGAAATGACAAATCAGAGTTTTATGGCTAACTTTTAATTCAATTCAGTTTATTTATTTAGCGCCAAATCACAACAAAGTTGTCTCAGGAACATTCACATACATAGAAAAGCCATTTATTATAGTTCTTTATCAAAGGAAGCAGCACTTCACTTAAAAAATTAAGGATATCGGGGTCAATAAATCGGTGCACCCCTACTGCTTATAGTTGTAGGGGTGCTTGGTTCAACAGAGATGGGACTTTTAATTAGTCTAGCAATAGTACTGAACAGAAACCTAGAGTTATTAGTAACTACAAGTTTACGTAGTATTCTGTACCTGACAAAAGAGAGGATTTTTGTTGTATTTATATGGAAGAGGATTAGGACCATTGTGGAATATTTTTTCTTTTTCTGTATTTTGATGTTTAAGTCACAAAATAAAAAGAAAAAAATCTCCCATGGCCCCAATCCTCTTCCATAAATGTACTAATATCAGTATTACATAAGCATAAAACGATGAATGCACCCAACACATACACAACAGTTGCATTTATTTGTGGGCATTTACAAGACTGATGGTGTTAAATATAGGCTTTTCAACTTGTTTTTCTCTTCTGTGACAGCTTGTGTGTCCTGTTATAGTTCAATTATGAATCAGTTGTAATTTATGAAAACCTGAATAGTCTCCCAAAGCATGTCATTGTCTAAGAAGCTGTGCGCACCATTTTATAAATGACGTTAGTATGTTTTACAGATTAACAAGAATCGAGGAATCTACGTCTTTGCTGTCAGATATCAGCTATGATCAAACAGACGACTCTTTGGTAAAGATGCTCCTTTTGTCGACATTTCAATTACATTAAATTAATTTAGGAAGCAGAAATAATGCACCGGCTTGTATTGTGCTAAACTGTTGCGCTGCTTTATTTTTAGCAGTGGGATTCCTCAGGAATGAAGAATGTGAGACTCCGCAGACGGCAGAAACGAGTTAGTCATGTCTCTACTCACGTTCTGAATAAAAGCCTCGTTTTTTCACACTGCTGCTCATAGTTTAGACATTTTCTCTCAGATGAGGCTTAAAGGCAGTGGTTGCTTTGATCAGCTGGTGTTAAAGTGTCTTTCTTGTTTTGAAAAATAACGTTTTAAACCGCAGCGTTCGTCAAGAAAAGTCTCAGATGTTCCTCCGCAGGCAGTGAAGAAGCCACGCTCCACTGGGCGCGCACCAGAGAGGGTAATGCTTCCCCCTGGAGCTGACGGTGCTCCATAACACATAACTTTTTTAAATGGTAGGTTATTCTGACCTAGAACGATAAAGATCCCTAATGTTTTTCTTTCACGTGATCCAGATTAACGAGTCTATCGTGGCTAAAACAACGATCACTTTGCCTGCGAGTGGTGGTGTTGTTGAGACCGTGTCCACCATTGAAACTGTGCCTTACTGGACACGCAGCAGAAAGAAGAGTGGTGAGAAGAGTTTATTTTCTTTATGGGACCTTAGATGTTGCTTGATTTAATAAATTTAAATGTATGAATCAACTAATTTTGCCTGTTGAGATTTCTTCATGTTTTACCCAGTTAATGATTGTCTCTCCAGTGTTGGGGGACACGATCATTACCGACCAGTCTGAGACTGTTAGTGAGGCTCCCAGCTCACAAGCGTCTGATGTTCCAGCCCGACTTCAAACTCCCCGAGCCAAAGCAGGAAAGAAGCACCGCTTCATCTCCAAAACAGTAAAAACAACAAAGTTCTGCAACCATAATTCTACTTTTTAAAGCATAAAATGCTTATTAACTGCAATAAATCTCATCTTTGCTTCACCAAGGTTATCAAGTCTGAGCTCTGTGGAGCATGTGGAAGAAGGACAAAGTTTGGCAAGCTGTGTCTCCGCTGCCAGGACTGCAGGACTGTGACGCACCCTGAATGTCGTGAGCAGTGTCCTCTGCCCTGTAATCCTACAGCTTTTGGGACTCTCATCAGGGGCACAGAGGTGCGTCTGTCTTCCTAGGTTTCATTTAGATAGCTGCTGCAGTTATTTTCAGCCTAATCGTGTGTTAAGTAATATTTCTGCGTAGGTCACCCTAGCTGACTTTGCTCCAACCACCTCCCCAATGATCCCAGCTTTGGTTATCTACTGCATTAAAGAGATCGAACGCAGAGGACTTCATGAGGTGAGGCAGGCTCAAAGAATGTTTTTTAATTTGCTTTTTAACTTCATTTTGACACTAATTCTGGTTTTAGTCATTCCATTTTAGCTGAAAGAGTATCATAGTTTGAAATAATAACAGATGCTCTTTTTTTTCCATTTGCATTTTGCTGCAGGTTGGTCTGTACAGAGTCTCTGGCCAGGAGCGTATGGTTAAAGACCTGAAGGAGAAGCTCATTCGAGGAAAGACTCTGCCTCTCCTCAACAAAGTGGAAGACATCAACGTGATAACAGGTGTCCTCAAAGACTTCTTTAGAAACCTCCCAGAGCCGCTGCTCACCTTCCACCTCAATAAAACCTTCATGGAAGCAGCTGGTGAGACTTTTGAGACTCAAAGAATTACTTGCTAAATTTGTAGAGGTCACAAAACCCTGTTCATGAAATTGACTTTCTTTGAATTCCCTCCTGGGGATAGAGAAAATAGAATATTAATATTATATGTACACTGTATTTTTTATAGAAATCCAAGATGATGGCAACTGTCTTGCCATGTTATATCAGGCTGTTAGTGAACTTCCTCCACCCAACCGAGACACGCTGGCCTGCCTGATGATCCACCTGCAGAAGTATGTACCATATATATATTTTAACCTACATTTTGTTTATAACTCTTTGAACATGCCGTAACCTTCTGCAGACAGTTTTCAAAGTTAAGTGATTAGGATATTTTCAGCACTTTTTTTTTCCTCCCCCAGAGTGTCTCAAAGTGCACATACTAAGATGGATCTACACAACCTGGCCAGGGTGCTTGGTCCTACCGTGGTGGGCCATGCTGTTCCTGACCCAGACCCTATGACCATCCTGAACGACACCAGCAGACAGCCGAGGGTAAAGGGAATGAGAAATAATTACGTTGTCTTTGCATTTGAAACACTAGTACTTAGTTTATAAACTTCACTACTCTAAAAGTATCACACGGCTGAGATGATGTTTGTGATTTTAAAATATTCTGTCCTGAAGTTTTTTGACAACAACCACAGGATTTATTACTGTTCTCATAGGTTGTAGAGCGCTTGCTTAGTATCCCAGAAAGCTACTGGAGTCGGTTTGCTCATCCAGATAACGCAGGGATGGAAACGGATCTTCACACCGACACTCCAAACAGCTTAGGTAAACCGCTCCTACAGTATATGTATACTGACGGTACATAAAAGGGCCTGTAAAGTTTATTGTATGATGTTTTGACAAAGCTAGTGGTCTCACAAACCCATTTTCACGTACTCGCTTGGTGCAACAAAATGAATGAAATATGTTGGTTTTATGATGCATTTTTACTCAGTGCTGGTAGACTCGTCTACTCCACTGTAAAACTGTCAAGTGCAAGGCTGCAAAAAAATAAAAAACAAGTCAAGGCATTGTTATCCATCTATCTATCCATATATATTTTTTCCATCTATATCTCTATATTTTTATCTGTAGATCTTTATATTTCCATCTCTATAGTTATATCGCTATATCTGTCTATATTTCTAGCTCTATCACTTTATATCTCTATCTATATATCTATGTATGTATGATCCTACATATTGTACACAAACAATCATGGATGTGTAAGAGAGAAATCTGACAAGAAGTTTATTTGTGTGTTTACAAGGTTGTGACACTGAGCCACTGCAGCCCTTCCACTTTATTTGTGTGTGTGTGTATATAT